ATGTATGTTTTAAACAATGCATTTCAGAACTAACGCGAATAAAGCAGAAGTTCAGTTTCTTTTTTCTGATAAAAGGGGGGAAATTAAAGTTTCAGGCTTTTTAACTCAAACATGCGACTTTCTCAGATAATACGCTACAGACTATTAAAAATCATTTATTAAAAGGAGATTTTTTTTTTTTTCCTTCTAAACTCATGCCGTTAGACAAAGCTTGCTTCTCTTGTTAAAACACGGAATTAAAGAAGGTGAGGGGATAGCTTTATAAAGCTTTATCTTATGTTAGCTTAGTATCAGTATGAAAAGATACACCTTTTGAAATACTTAAGAAAAAAAAACAGATATGAAAGGACTGGACTGGATTATTTAGATTGTTGAAAGCACTCTAAGGTTATCGCCGTAACGGGAACGATGCCTTTATGGTGGACTTTCTGCGGGAAACTGACACCTGTTCACGATATACATAGGAAACTTACGAAAACGCTTATGCAGGTAGCTCGCTCGCAGGAATTTGAACCCCAAAGAGGAACAATATTTAAAATACTTTTATCGCTCTAGTATTTAATTATTAACCCTTTGCGGCACAGTGTGTCCTGTCTGGACACACCTAAAAATTTCCTTCTGTACGCACAGAAAAACTGAATGAAATAGGATTTATAGGTTACTCTGAACCTTCTTTATTTATAGTAGATGACAGCTCAACACAAACCAGTCCACATATTTTAGCCATGTTTAGTTTTTTAAGAACCTCATTTTTCAAAGAAATTTTCCAGATTTTTTTAAGGTATAAAAAATTGTTTGAAAAGAAATGTCTACGTTACTTTTTTGGCTGTATGCTAATTTCCTTATTCTATATTTGTTTTAAATTTTTACCTTGAAATCTTGCCTAAAATCAAACGGCGAACCCTATGTTTGCTCAGACCGAGCTCACCGATAATCTACGACAACTGAGAGTCTGTATTCTTTGTTTCTCCGGATTTCATCGGTCAGTTCATGATAACAATGCTCGTTTCAGCACTCTTTTCGAAGCTCTATTCAATCAGTGTGCCACTTTGGGCACACCCACAGAATTAAAACGATAAGTGCTATCTTCACAAAATTTTATTTGTGTACTCCTCTAGGCCTAATTAGACTGCCTACCTTTTTTTTTTTTTCCATCAAAACTCCGACTTTAAAAGGTAGCGTGCCGAAACGGAATAAAGAAGAGTTGATTTTTCATGTATCTGTGAATAATCATTTTTTGAACTGATTGGAACTTGATATAATTTTCGACATTATTTTAAAGCGTACAAAAATTATCTGTTTACATTTATCATAGTTAAATGCTTTTTGATCGAAAAGAGCATACAAAGTATACATACATACATACATTTGAGCAATTAAACCTTTGCGTAACGCATTTTTTAATTTAAATCCGTTCTGGATAAATAAATACAAGCTATAGCTCTTGTGCACTTTTTTATAGTCAAACACACGTCTTTAGATAATAAATCAGTTCTTGAATTCAATTCCACTATCGCTTTCAAAAGTGCCATGTAATCAGAAACACAACCCAAATATTTTTCTGTTTAAAGTGTTAAAAAAAAAAAAGTGACTAAATTGATGAGCGATATTCCAGTGATATTATAAAAAAAAGTAATTGATCTTTTTTTGTTGGGAGTTTTATATCTGATCTCGGTGTCGTTCTATTTGCAAAAACGTTTTTAAATATTTTTAAAAGAACTATAACTATTTTCTTGAAATGATTCGTGTTTATTATTTTAGGATATAGTTCTTTGGCTAAATAAAACATATTGCTCGGTCAGTGGCGTCAAGACACGTCTTATGTTGGCTATCGCAGCATTGTTGTTCTATGACAAGACAGTCACTTAGCTGCCTATCCTGATTTAGATGATAAAGATTCTGGGCAATGAAGATGCACCTTGAACTCGTTCTACAATGCCGATAACAGAAATAAAACTGCAGTTTTGAGGAAGAGATCTTCCTCTCAGCTGATTTTGGCTCCGACCTCAGTGAATTCTGTCATATTAAGATCAGTTACACTTATTCTTTCATCCTCACTATTTTCTTGAACGTTTAAGAATAACTGTCATCCATTTTAAGAAAAACAACTTGAACTTTATTGCAAACATTTTAATAAAGTTGTTCGTTTATTTTGCGGGTTTATTGGCTACAAAATGAGTTCGGACATTCATAATTTTTGAGTCAATGTGAAAGTAACTAATAACTGTTTTCACTATAATTCTACGAAATGTCAATTACTGCTTTGTGGGCGCTGTTCCTGAGATTACAAATGGAGAAAACCATGAAAAACTCATGCAGCCAACCAATTAAAACTTCGAGAATCTACGCGGTGGCAAAGTACCTATGTTTTGGCAGCTTAACTGAGCACAATAGCAGGCTAGGTCCCAGGTAAAATGATCGAGAAAAACGGAGTATAAGGAATGTTTTTCGCTATTATGAGGATAAATTATACTACGGGTCCTCTTCTTTCAGTCATAATTTTGCTGAAAAGAATAAAAGTTACGCTGTTGTAACCCATAATCTTAATTTCGTTTCCATCAAGATCGATCTTAGAATTATAATGAATTTTCATTAAACAAAACCAAGTAGCTAACTATAATTAGCTAAGGGAAATTCTAATAGTTTTCTTATAATAAAATCTTTGCTTAGCTATTTTACTACTTATATATTTAAACTACGGGAAAATTCTGACGATTCTGAATGATGAAATTGAGAAAGTGCTATCGTTTGTTAAACAGTTGTAAGTAAAGCAAGTACGACTGTAATCATTAATGAAGGACGTAAAATGACAAAAATCTGACTTTTAGAAATATAAAAACTCAAATTTATCAGCAGCGTAACATACTCAATCTTACAAGTGCATTCCATATTAAAAACATGTGACTATCCAGCGATATATTACACAGGTATTCTTTTTGACCTCTGAAGAAATTCGAAAATTCTTAAGCACGTGCCCGAAATGCAAATATAGCTCATAATTCGAGGGGAGGAGTAGCTAATTTATTAGATTATCTGAGAGGTGCACCAAGTTCAATAAAATAAAATTTCTCTACAGTTACCAATAAATAATTGTTTTTCTCCATTAGCATGAATTACGAAACAAAAATTCGAAAAGGACCTTTAATTACGTCCAAGTTACCTAGCTATCACATTAAAGACCCAAGATATTCCTCCACCCCCTCTGCTCAAGACACACGCGCCGTATGCAACTTGAAAAAAATAAATAAATAAATAAATAAATAAAATAAAATAAAAGCTAGTGAAAGTCGAAGGCACACCCAATTTTTTTCTTTTATCATCTCTTCATAGGAGCGGTCATGTCTTGAATAAGCCATGTGTTGAAAGAAAAAAAGAAAGCGAAATTTTCAACCATGGCGTGGCGAATTGTCAGTCCAGTCAGTCACTCCCTAAAGCACGCTGCTCACCATATTCTTTTGCACAAGCGCACTTACTCATTCCTTCTTTACCACTTTAACGCCTATTTCTATGAAGCAACATTTCAATGCAACAAGTACTAACGGACTACGCATAAAAGACATATTTTGATTATATGTTTCATTAATAAACGAGAGGATTTCAAGTGATTTAAAGAGTGGCTGCACAAATGGACTTTATAATTTGACAAGCTTGCATAAATAATCTTCAAATGCAATCGCTGATTTAACTTCTCCAACTCGAAGGAAGAATTTTTTATAAATCATGATCAGATTTATTCCAGCTCAGAAAGCGAAATAACTCTCATTTAAGATAACTCAAGTGCATTTATTTTATAGCTGAGATCAGTGTGGCTCTAAAGCGCACACATTTATTTATTTACAAATACCTAACTTTCGGCACTTAAGCCGTTAACCTAAGTTCCTCCTTACTTTTGGGATACGGAATTAGAACTGTTAAGTTTAGAACTCTAGCTTAAATGCTCTTTGCCTATGGGCTGTCAAAAATCGCAAAGCACTCTGAAGAATTTCTTATTTAAAACGTATGAACAGCAAGTCAATTATGTCCAGTTAAAAGACGAATTGATGAACTAACTGAAGCACGAGTTGAGTCTGAAATAGTCCATCCCTTTTCTAGGAGACAATACCAAGCCTTTCTCATTGCTTTTGAGCACAAATTTGAGTCACGAGTCTCGCTAACTTCCATATTTATCGAACTCTTAGCATAATGAAAGTTCATTAAATTTATGAGTTTCTAAAGGATAAGAGCCAGCATACGAGTTTGTAACATAAAATTAGCAGAAACTCAAGCAATGTTAATGAACATGGAAGAGGTCAATAAATATGCTAATGATGCAGTGATTAACATTACGACCTTTCGATACCAACATCCACTGAATGAAGGAAACAAATCGTCAAAAATTCGTCCGTAAGAAATTTCTGCTCTTTCAAGAGAGGTCACATTTATTTATATCACCATGCATCAGAGAATTTATTAAGCAAATAAACGCACAATGCAAATAGCGCCAACCACATCCTCGCTGCAGTTCAATAACACGCATTAAACGGTGTGGCGCCAAATTCAGACATTTTTAATTCATCGTTTTCCCAGCTACAACAGCTTAGCCTTATTTCAAGGCTTAATACATTTGTGGAAGTACCATCGCAAAGGGCTTTTTCTATTTTGAGCTTTCATTTAAATTGAAATCAAAGCAGTGGGAAAAACCACAGATGATATCTAATCCAGATTTACTTTCAATTCATTCGAGATTATTTATCTTACTTGGCTGTTTGTTTGAAATAAAAAAAACAGGCAAAGAAGTTAGAAATATGTGCGTGTTTAACTAGGCTACGCGCGCTCCAAAACGAAAGCCACAGCGAAAACAATTGGAAATAACACTCTAAATCTCGCAGAGTGGGATTTGGAGGGTAACAGCAGTTTTCGCTCCGTTTCGTGTCAAACAACGCAAATTTACTGTCTTGGTAGCAGAACATGTTTCCCACTTGCAATAATAACCTTGGGGAAGGGAGTGAATTGAAGGAGCAGGACGACCCCCTGTCTTGTCATCGTCCACCCAGACTGACCAAACAAGTTTGCTAAGCCAAAGAACGTTCTTTGGCTAAGCGCCATTTCAAGCGAGGACAGTCGTAACAATGGATACAGCTCCTTTGCCAAAAGTAAGTTCGCTTTTAAAATATATATACAATTATTTCTTAATATAAATATCTTAATTATTATAAATTAAGTAGTTAGTTTTGCTCTTTTTTTTTTTAGGTGTCTGTAAATTTGCTTTAAGAGTGTAATGCTGTAACGTAGTTTTATTTATTACGTACTGCTAACACAATGAAAGCTGTACGTATGGATGGTACTTTTTGTAAATAATTCTTAACATTATTTTTATTTTTGAACAATTTACACAAAGCTATCGAATTTAATTATTTAAATTTAGTTTTGCATGCATTCCTATTTCAAATAGGAAGAACAGCGGTGGAAAAAAAAAAATGCATACTAAAGTTTTGATTTTTTTTTTATAACACAAGTGTGTAAATTATTTGGTAGTATTGGAAGAAATAAAAACCGTATACTTTACTGAATTTCCTATTGAACTCATATCGTTTTCAGCTTCTAGTAGTTTTTAATAGATTTTTAACTTTCATTTTTTATAAATTCTGCTTATAGTTTGTGACAATAAAATTCACTTACTGTTGCAAAGCTGAATTTTTCCAAAATATAAATACTAGCACTACCTGGGTCATATCAGCATTCTAAAACTTATATTTTGTAACTAAGGCCTCTTGAACATTCAAAAGTCCTGGAGGCCAATAAAGCTGCTAAGACGGCTTTCCGTTTACGATTTTAAAAAAATCTTGCATTCTTTAAAAAAGACTGAAAGCTTCAGATTTTAAATTACGTCCAAAGGGGCATTTTTTTAACATTTTGTGTGTTACCTTTATTTATTAAATATCACGTTCTTCGCACTTAAACCATAAAAACATTCAACAGCAATCTCGCAAAATAATTTTAAAATGAACATATCTTTAGAATTTCCAATACAGAGTCTCGCGAGCTGGATATATATATATATTTTTTTTACTCGTACAGTCTTGCCATTGCTCGCTTTGAAATCGTTTACTTGTTTACTTTGTTAATCAAAAATTCGTTGAAGTATTACAAAATATTAAATAATAAAGCAAATAATAAAACCAATTTCAAATTCAAATTAGGGCTTCCACATGCCCATATTCTATGGAAGATTACCTTATTCAAATTTTGTTGGCTCTAGGTACCGTTGTTTTATTACAATGCGAGAAACATACATACATTCATGCAGATTCTTCATTATTTAATTTCTTTAAATATAATGTTTGGTGGCAGCAATTTGAAATGAAACATATCGGGAATATGCAAAATGCAAAATATATGCAAAATGCCAAAACGAAATTAACAGTCCTTCTGGGAGAATTGCCCCTTTGGACTAAAAGGAAAACCCAGCTATTTAAAAAAAATAATAAGTTTTGATTTTCTGATGACAAACTGAAAAACTATTGTATTATTAAATATTCCAGGTAATTCATGCAGATAACTATTTAATGAGAATTCATTTTCAATCAAAGACCAAGCATAAAATTTTTGTACCTTGTCCCATTCTACATAGGTTCTATATTCCTAATACTTGTGCCACAGCAAATTGTCAAATTTATCTGCCCCTTGTCTTTTTTTTAAACTGTAGCACAATAAAATACTTTTTTTTCAGGAGGCGTTACATGATAGTTCAAAATTATCAGATTTTTATAACTGCAAGAAGTTCCCGAAGATGCTGTTAATGTCCTAAAAGGTAATTTTATTTTCTACTCTGTTTTAAATTAAAAACTATACCTAGTCCGGATTTTTGAAAATTCCAGATATTCAGTTGACTTTATATGCTATATACATGTATTTATTTTATGCTAAATATGTATTTACTGACAAATATACGTATATGCCAATATATAATATGTACACCAAATGTTTATTTCTTTTAATGCAAATAAGAAAATTAAAAAAAAACAGTATTTATTTCTAAAAAATGTAAGGCATGTTTTTTTCAGACTTAATTAAATAGTAAAATTCGTTACATGTCTAAACATTTTTATTTCAACTGAAACAAAACGACTTTTTATATGTAAGCCATAAAACCTAAATGTTTGATGCATTTTTTATTTTATAATATGAAAATTAAGCAATATTGCCTTTATATTTGTGGCAGCGCCTATCATATTTAAAAAAATTAACTTATTTTATTAACAGATAATAGAATGCACAATTAAAAAACAGCTTCCCCTCCCTTCTATTGCGGGAGAAAACCTAATTCGACGGGTTATTTTTATTTATTTATTTCCCCCTTCTAAGAAAACTTGTCAGGCATACTTTCAAAATTGTCGAAATATATACTAATTTAAACATGATAATTCTAAAATGATTCATAGATTAATTCATATACATCAACTCAATAGTTAGAAAGTTAAACTAATGACATTTACTTATTACTTTTCAAGATTATTGCCTTTTCATTTCAATTAGTTATTATATCTTCTCCTAGTGATATTAAAATGAGTGAGAGGATCTGATGAAGTAATGTTCAAAATAATATAATTGTTTACATTAGCAAAAGCTATTGTTGTATCAAACAAGTCTTATAAACCTTTTCTTATCCACAGTCCTTTAAAGTAGGAAAGAAATGTAAGTAACCTGATTTTAATAAACTCATATGAATTCATTTTCTGGTTTAGATAGGATTTAAAGACTCAGGTAACACAGCTTGTTTACATTTTACATTTTCAATAACTAAGTTATGTGAACACTGTTAGAGAGGTGTAGCCAGAGTTCTTGCTGCCTCACTCAGTGCACAATAAAAAGTCTATAAAATGTCAAAATGATATATATAAAAACAAAATATCTGGGTTTATTTTTGAAATAAAACATTAATTCTAATACCGTAAAGTACTATTTTGTTTGTTTTCCTTATACACAAAATCATTAATAGTATTCTAAAAGTTTGATTTACTACTCTATCAGCTGATTTGTAGACAGTATGGTACAATTTCTCAGTCTTAGGTGTTTTTTAATCCATTTGTACTTTGCAAAATTCTTCTCGCAACAGTCATGAAAAAAAATTTACAGATGTATATCAGTATTTGGAACTGCATTCTGAAATTTTATGAACTGCAGAAGTTCAAAGTTACCATCCTTCCACCTGCCTTCGAAAAACACTACCGCAAAGAATCTACAGTAAATGTAAACGCTGCAAAATGCAAAGCTGATGTATAATTCATTTTCCTTGCGGCCCTCCTCGCTTTCCTTTCGTTCTTTCTTTCGCTGCTGTTATGTTTGTGAATGGCCAAAAGGAAACTGATCTTCATTTCATTTTTTTTAAACAATTTAAAAAGATAAACAGTTTTCATCTTTTTATGTCCCAAGAATTTTGAAATATGTGGAAACAAAACGCCCTGATCTTCTGGTACCAAGTATTGCTGATTTCAGTGGTAAAAATCTTTAAAAATTTCAACTAGGATAAATGATAGAATTTAATTAGGATGATAGAATACTTTAAAACTTTTCTTTGTTTACTTTTTAATTACCTAGAGTAAAGTAATTTTGCATCTATTACTCACATTGGTCTTTATTCTTAAATGGCTTATAGTTTTTTTCCTTCTGGCTCTTAAAGATAAGCGGTAAATGCATGTGCCTCTAGTGCCAAAGGCCTTTTTAATGATATTTTTGTAATCATTATGTAATAAACGTGTATATATATATATATATATATATATATATATATATATAGATGACCTAAAAGCATTAGTTTTGCTCACAGAACTTTTGCTCAGCTAAAATTATTGGAAAGAAAGAGGGAAAAAGGTTTTATTCATTATTAATGAGTAAATATTTGGCATAAGTCTATGCATAAAAAATAATTTCATATGCTTAGCTATAAAATTCTTTTCATAGGATAATATTTTTAGTTTGCAGTGTATGTATATGTAAATAAGCTATTGATACTATATGTAAGTGAGCTGAGCTGCATATACTTTGAAATTTGCTACATATTCTATCTTGAAAGGTTCATGTGTGATATTTATATAGTTTCAATTAATTATTACATTTCACATGCAATTTTTATCCAGTATATGTCTTTTATATATACTTTTATTTTTATTTTTGTAGGGTAAAGGCAAAGCAAGTATTTTAGCATCAGGTTGTTATTTGAAAAAAAAAAAAAAAAAAAAAAATCCAAATTCTGCACTTCTAATATTTGCTAAATGTAAGTATTGAGGAATTTTGATATGCTTTCACTAACTTTCATTTTAAGAGGGCAGATTATATTAAAATGAGCCATTTTACAACAGTGAATGTATTTGGCCTCATGTGGCTAAAATTCATCTTCTCAGGCTGCTTTCGACTATTGTACCCACAGATGATGCATGGTCATTTAGCTAATTTCTGTAGAATTGGAATTGCATTGATTTGAATGTCACCTACATACTAGCAAATATTTCGAGAGAATAAGATGGTTTGTAATATGTGTGATGCCTTTATATGATCTAAATCTAAAGCATGACACTAATCATATATATGCATGTATATACAGTGAACATAGATTTTTTTTTTTTTTTTTAACTTGTAAAGTGATGGAAAAATTGCTTCAAGGTGAAATTCAAAAGATACACTTCCAGCCAGACTATAGCGATCATGAAATCAAGAACAAACATCTTTACAATAACAATAGTTTATTATGAACAACAATAGTTTATTATGAAGGGATGATACTTGTTTTCATAAGGAAAAGACAGACTAATTCTCCATATAGTTTGTTCTTTTTACATTTTTATGTACATTATTTATTACATTTTTCATTAAGAAGCAACGCACAGATAGACTATCCTATTTATATTTGCATCAATATAATATTTACATATTCCTATATGTATTTATTTATACTGCATTTTTACAGAAACTAAAAGCAAAAGACCTCTATGTGAATAAAATTACTAGGAATTACTTATTTTTGAAAGAAGAAAAAATTTTCTGGCGATATTTTTTAATTGGAAAGATAAACTTTCTAGTATGGCTCATTGGTATTTGACTTGTCCTAATAGATAGGTAATGGATGTATTCTTAATAAAGAAATTTATTTTCAGGGAATAGAAGACATGGAATCTCTTGGACCAGCTCAGAATAAACAGCCCATTATAGTGTGTATTACAAGTTCATTCTATATTAAAGCAGTAAATCACTTAAAAGCATGCCCAAATCATGCCATGAAGGCATTTGACATTCTATTTAAAACTAATTTTGTATTTAGCGTTCAATATGCACATACATCAACAAATTTTTATAATTTTGTGGCAAGCCTTTTGTATAATGTCAGCACTCCTAGAGCTTGTGTGGACTCTTTAAATACATGTTTCGAGTCTGAATTTATTGCATTTTGTACATGCATTACATTTCATATTTTTAATGTCATTTTAGTGTCATATTTTCCATTTTTATATGTATATATATGTACATATATTTCCTAATAAAGAGTTTTTTCATGCAATGCTTGTTTTCACTTATATTTAAAATACTTTGTTCATTGAAATTATTATAATTCTGCAGTTATGGTAATGATTCCTATTCGGATTTAATCAATAAATGAAATACATAATAATTTTCAGCAGAATTATGAAAAATGAATTTTTAGCTTACACATGTGAGCTATAATCCATATTATTTCACTTTAAAATTTACTTTATTTTTCCCAAATGAGACTTGGAATTAGCATATATAAAAATAAGTTATAGTCTAAAAGTATATGTAAGCATTTATTCACCTGTAATGATTAATGTATAGGAATTTGTATGCATATAACTTCTCAAAAATAGAAAGCGTAACAAGCTAAGCTAACTGAAGATTTTAGACTTTATTCATAATTTGGGGTAATAATTAATTTTAAGCTCTTCATAATTATGTAATAAGAAATAGAAACATTTCTTTTGCAATATTTTGTGCAATATATGAAGCTAAAAACAATAGCATGAGAGTATTTTATGGTTACTTATTTTCTGAATCTCATACATTAAAAATAAAGCTGAATAGTTTTCATGTAAGGGAAATTAAATTCGCATTTGTTTCTTACTTCAATGTATATTAAAATTTATTATTCGATTTTTTATGCATATTATGCTCAAGTAGACAAACTACTAGTAACATCAATTCACAAATTGTATTAATATAGTCACTTATAAGTAGCATTTTAAGAAGTTAAATCTATCAGATTATGATACAGGTTTACTGACACATATATATATGATCAGCTGTTCTAACACATTCAAATTTTCATTATAAAATTTGTCAAGAACTATTTTTAATAAATTACTTTTCCAACTAGAATGATTATTTAATGGAAAATTTAGCTTACAATTTACATGATTACGTGCCCAAATCTTGTGAATAAGCATAATTTGCTTTTTTAAATTAAAATATGTATACAAAATTTAGAATGTATATCACTATATATATATATATATATGATTCATCTAAAATGATTATTTCTTTTATGAAACTAAGAATTTTTTGATTTCTCAAATCAAATTTTGAAAATATCTGAAATATTTATTCAAAGTTTTAAGTACCTGAAAAACCTTATTTTTTATTCAAAAGTTAAGTTTTTCATTGCGAATATCTTGCTATTCCAGTTTTTATATATAAGTTGCATTGACGTTCTTATTTTTATTGCTTACTACACATAAAGGCAAAAGCCATGTTTCTGTAAAATAAATATATTCTGTGAGTTCAAAGTAATTTCACATCAGAAGTACTGTGAGAAAGTATAGTGTTAAGTATTTCAGAATGTTAACTACACCGAATTTCCAATATTTTAATATGGATGTAATTTTTTTTATATGTATATTTCGTTAGATCTGGAAAGAAATCTCATCGCCAATAAATGTTTAAGTAAGTACATAGGTAGCAAATCTAAAACAGATGTATATATCAGATAATTAAAATCACAATAGCATGTTAAAAAGTAGTGTAAAATATTTTTTTCAAGAGATAATATTAACCAGATATCTAAAACAATACATCAGCTATAAAGTTTACATAGCAAATACCAATTTTCAGTTTGCCTATAAAATAATTATATAAAAATCGCACCATCAAGGAGTGAGCAGACTATTATTATAACTCCTTGTAATGTGTGTGGTTTCACCCGAATATCGGGCGATATCTGACTATCGAAGAAGAGCGAACGAAGAAAGGGTCACTCCTGTTTTTGTGTGAAAAGGGACCGCTTTTTACTAGAGTGAAATATCGCTCCTTCGAGGTTGGTGCCATTTTGGCATTAGAGGGAGGTGGGATATCACTCCTTTAGAGTCGGATAGGACTCTTTCGAATTTAGAGTGAATACCCTCAGGCTACCAGAGTTTTAAACGATGAACCACGCAATAGTAAAGACTATATCTAATACTAGTAGCTTCTACAATACATATTTAACGAAAACTTTGTGCTAGGAAATGCAAACAAACGTGTTCAAAAGCTATCAACGTGCAGTCGTAAGGATGAAGAAGATACCTAATGCAAAGAGAGAAAGCAAATTACGACAAGAACAAATATTTGCTCTCCTGGCAAAATTACAAAGGAACAGTGAAGTGTACCATTTGATACATGTATTCCATGAAAACGGGGAAACATTACGCAAACTTGGAAAAAGCGATTTAAATTTATGAGACTATTTTTTCAGTCTTTTTAGGCAGAGCACGGAAATTTGAACTTGAATTCAAAATTTTGATCATTTAACGGCCTGTAAAGTCAATCATTCACAGATAACAGCAAACTGTTTTTGAGTTTAAAATGATCTGATAAGATTAAAAAACAGAAATAGTAAACGTCCTTCCAAGCAATATACGCAGTAAACATGTACATCAAAGGCCAGAAGCTTAAGTGTGGCACGTCAAAGGTAATAGACATATGTATAAAATGGAAGTGGATTTCATATTAAATATATTTTCAGAAAGCTGTAAAGGAAAACAAACCTTATCGTAAGAGCTGTCATACTTTTTGACCTGTTGACATTTCCTAAATAACTTATAGAGACTCAAGAAATAAATTTCGATATAAATGCAAGTGAAAATCCGCAAGTGAAAACTCATTCCATCAGGTCTTATGCTGAATTTTTGAAGTACTTTAATCTGGCTTTTAGCCGCTCCTTTTTATCATCCTGCCTTATGTTTTGAAAAGAATATTTCACACAGAAAGTTGCCAGTTGCGAAGAACGAAACGGAATATAATTTCAATACTTTTTTCACAAAAATTTCGCATAAATAAACTGAACACACGAATCACCCACTTACTTTAAACAAAATTTTGATAAGTACAGACTGTTTGATTAAATTTAATACTTAATTTTTATATAAACCTATTTACGGAAAACTATATTTTTAGATCTATCTATGTGCAATGAAAAATTTGTGCATTTCCTAACCTCGTCCATTAAGATTTATATTTTTTTGTTCTTCATAGTTCTTCGGTTATCTATTGGTGTATTTTTGAATAAACATTCTTTCAGATTTCTTCTTGAGATGAAAAGAAAAGTTCGCATAAAGAAAAAGAAGAGGTCATTCAGTCTAAGCCATGCTTCAATAAAAAGGTGAATAAGTCGCAGTATTCTTCTCAGATTATGGTTGGCAGCTTATTGCAAACACTCAGAAGTTATCTACCCAAGAAAATTTTCAAAGTGAAACTAGGTCATATCTGTCATTACATATATAATAGGATTATTTAATTATAGTCAAAAATACTATGGTTATCTCAATAAGACAGCATTTCTCAGTCTATGATTAGCGGACCAAAAGTGATCCTCGAAGCCTGCACTTATGGCCCTCCAATATTACCAAAAGAGCCAAAAAATGAAATTCAAATTTACTGCGTTTATGACACTATACCTGAAAATCGTAGAGTTTCGAAATTACAGATGGAAATCATAAAGGATTTAAAGTACGATTACCATGGTAAAGAAAAGAGAGAAACACGTCAAAATAAAATAAGTTTTTTTGGGGGGGTTATTTTTTAATTATGACAAAGCACACGAGGGCTATCTGCGTAAGGATAGATGCCTTCGCGGAGGACTTTTTAAGGGAAACTGGCTCATACACACGTTACACATGGGGAAAATCATGAAAACGCCCATGCAGCCAGCCCGTTTGCCAAGATTCGATAATCCCGGTCAAACTACCAGTGTTCAGCGAATTTATCGCTCGGTCGTTGGTGGCCTTATGTGAAAAATTAGCCAAAGCAACAACATTATGCTTGGCGTAGATTTTAGTCAAGCCTTCTTACCAGCATACATCCAAACATAGAACAACTACGCAAGAAATGGTAGGCTCATCCATATCATTAATGTGAATACGCACATTTATTTAATTTTCAGTAAACAAGATGAAGATTATCCAAAGCACGAAGGGCCTTTAAAAGCAAATATAGATTCCCTTCTATTAACCTAATTACTTAATTCCAGCATAAAATTAAACGAATTTTATTCAATTGCATTTTAAAAATGTAAGTCTACTGGTAGTAGCACATGCTAAAAAAAAATTGCTTTCGAAGAGGACAAGAGTGTAGTGGTTAGCAGAACATTCTAATATGTAATTTCTAGTGGGTCAGTCCCCACTAGAAAAAAATTTGAGACCCACTGGTCTAAAGAATTTGTGGAGGGGGGGGGCTTGAAACCGAGGCCATCTTGAAGGGAGATCCCATCAAGATGGCCTTAATTGAAACTCGAAAGGCTTTTTTGGGAGACTATAAAACCATTAATGATGGGAAAAACCATCAAAACACTGCAACCGTTCATAGTAAGGGTATCGCGGACGAAACAACTGATATTTCACAATTTTCGCACTGATGGGTCATATGTTTTTGAAATAGCAAAATGTTTCCTTTCATTTTCAACATGGAAGACTATGAGGTCTCGATTACTGGCAAAACAGTTTGCTTCTTGCTTATAACCATAAAAATTTTAGGAATTCTGAGTAATCCTGAATTTTGATCCCACCTTTTATTTGCCTGCTTCACAGTTATTAAAGAAAATGATTCAGTAACTTGTGGCTCGTCATGCACAAATTAGCTCTCAAGTTTGATTTTTGACTTATTGTTAAACATGGTTAAAAATAATAGAATTTGCATTTTCCGAGCCATGGGGTCGCCAAATCATGAGCAGACTAGTCAATGTTTAATTTACAAAATTTAATATCAACATTCATTTGTATGAATAAATATTTAACTCCTCGCCAGCTTGCGTGACCGGAACATGCTTCCTTTTTACTCTTCTGCATATCCATCGTTCAAAATATGCAGTTGCAATTAAGGGGAACTGATGATTGCTATATTCGATATAGTGCAGCATCCCGCCCAGTGCGCAGGTTG